TAAACCCTAAACCCTGAAAACTCTTAGAAGCCCTTAAGAACCCTAAACCCTAAACCCGAAAACTGTTAAAAGCCCTTAAGAACCCTCTACGACCCTTAAAGGCCTCCCCGCAGCTCCCAGGTCTGCAGGGGGCGGCAGATCACTTCTCAAGTTTGGCGCTCAGAGTTTAAGGTTTCAGGGTTTAGGGTTTAGGGTTGAGGGTTGAGGGTTTAGGGTTCAGAGTTTAGGCTTCAGGGTTAGGGTTGAGGGTTTAGGGTTCAGAGTTTAGGCTTCGGGATTTAGGGTTGAGGGTTTAGGGTTCAGAGTTTAGGATTCAGGGTTTAGGATTTAGGGTTCAGAGTCTAGGGTTTAGGTCCAGTTTAGGTAGTTTAGTGTTAAGAGGCGGCCGAGTCGTCTTACCCCGATGTTTCCTTACAACTTCTGGTGTATCGTCTGTCTACAGTTTAAGATTCTTGGCTTCCACACTTGTGTCGAAAATGCCGCAGCATGTTCAGCCAAAGGAAGACGCCTGGAGCAGCAGCAGTGGCCATATCGTCGGCCACAAGACGGGTAATCCTCAGCGACGCAGTGCCATACGGGCGCTGGGTCTTTAAGTACAGGAGCTTCTTGTGGCCGTTGTTGCACATGCCAGGTCTAGGTACCCCACAAGCTTGACCAAACATCATGCAAAGCCCTGGCTGGCTGAAATTCAGATTGGCTGGCTTGGCAGCCAGAAGATCCATGGAGTCAGATGGGAGTGTGCCAATGGTGCGAAGGATTCATGATAAGAGTGGGATTTTCTCGACAAGGATCGATCGTGTTTGGGCTTCCACACAAATGCTCCAAAGCAGCACAGAAGCGGCAGCAGCTGCAGCAGCACAAGCAAGTGTATCCAAAAGCTGTTGTTATAGATGGTGCTTGCCATACATAGACGGCGTAAATCCTACTTCACAGACCAAGATTCTCAAGACCACCATGGCTCGCTTCAGACGTCTCCGGCCTGAGCACCGGCTTGGGTTGACAACTCTACGCCCCGAGGTCTGCAAAACTGAGACCAGAACTCCGCAATTCCGAGCCGGGCGGGTGGACTGAGCATCTAATTGGCAGCTGGAGCCATGAACCAGCGATCATCGTTCTCGGTGCAAACGCTCTTACATTGGGCTGTGCAAGTAGGATGCATGGCAAGACGTCCAACAATGACATCTCCAGCAAACCTTCCTGTCAAAATGCATTCTGAATCATTCGGACACGAGCACCAAGGACGAAAGGTAACCTGCATGTCTCTGCTTCTCTCTCAACAAGAAGGCACTGCACACTCCGCAAACAAAACACTCTTCCCATCGAGATCTTTAAAGGCTAGCAAGATCAGAAAGAAAGCTTGGCTGGGCATCGGGAACCCGAAACCCATAATCCTAAACATCGAAGGCATGCTTCGATAAATTTCGAAGCTTAGGAGTTTAGAAGCAGCTTGCCGATCTTAACGAGGTAATGAAGAGCTGGTTTTGAGGGGTTGGAAACTGCTCGAATTCCGTGCCGCGAACAAAAAGACCTCCACAGCTTTTAACTTGGAGCTGCAACTTGGAAATGGAACAAGCAGAGCTGCCACGTTGCCGTCAAACACCAGAAACGGTGGTGCCAGGCCTACCACCTTGGACGTCACCTGATTCTTTCTTGCAGTGGCGTGGTCATCTCCACGGTCGCTTATGGAATTTGCTTGTATCTAAGCAGAACGGCACCTTTTCCTTCAAACTAGGCGTCGATCAGCGCACACACTAGAAAGAACGGCGGTGTTTTTCTCAGACCGGCAGCTGCACTGGAGAAGGCTAAGAGCTGTCATTGAGACTCGCACTAGCAAAAAACGCCGTCACGGATCTGAATCCTGAGAGCCGCTTCAAACAGTTTTTTGGGAAGAATCTTTGGCGAGAGATGTGAAGAGACCGAACTAGCGTCGAAATTGATTTTCTGTGAAGCACAGCCCCAAGTGTTCCACGCACCTGTTTCACAACTAGCGTTGCCGATTTTGTTCAGCTTGTGGAACTATTGGATTTCTGGCCCCACATATAAGAAGAAAAAGAGAATTCGAGCATCCAAGACGTTCTCTCTTCCCTACGGATCAACGAAAGCACAATGACCCAGCAGCACACGAGCTGCTTATGAGCTGCATCCCAGGAGCACACAATGCATTTCGAAGCACTTTCCAGCTTCTATTCTTAGCAAGTTTCCATCCACGGATCGCCACGGACGGAATCTAGGGGGCTGGGCCCCAGACCTTCG